GACATGTAAACAAATCTAGCCAATCAGAAACCTGGGGGTAAATTAGTAAAAACGAGAGGAATACGGTATCACTTTTTGCGAAACATAAATTTTTAGTATTGTACAAGGTAAATTAGCCAATCAGCGTGAATTTCATGATAATCGCAATTGCTAATTTCTCTATTTATATTTGTATCACTCTCATAAATTAGCGTTAGTGTACGAGTGTAGCCAATTCTATTATAAAAGATTTCTGCTTTCTGTTTATCATGTCGGAAATGGATTTTGATTTGGACTCAGAACTTGATTTACGAATTGTAGATAAAGGCAAAAGCAGAGAAAATCTAGTAGAATCACCACAACAGGTAGCAGAAGAACAAGTATCTGGTGATGAGACGGCTATTGGTGATGTACAAGAATCTAGTGACGAGGACGACGACATTGAAGTTGAGGGTGTTGGATCAAACTTAACTGATAACAATACAGAACTTGGGAGGAAAGAAGAAGAATTCTTGAGAAAAGATCGTTCTTTGTTGGAATTTCTTTTATTGTTAGATAATTTTGAACCTCTTGTAAGATTAATAAAACTTAATTGATTTTCTTTAAAATATTACTTTACATACTTATATCATTTTGGGATTTTACTTCCAAGATTCCCGAATTTGTAACAGAGTATTATCTCAACAGATCAGGGATCCAATGTGATGATATTCGAGTGTTGGTTTCGTAATACCACTATTTTTACTATAAGACTCAACCTTTTCACTTTATATTTACTCGTTTTCTCATGTCCATCCAATTCAAAGAATGCGTCTCATGTCATTAGCCGCTCAAAAATTTGTTGCTGATATCGCTACAGATGCGTTTCAAGATTGCAAGATTCGCCAGCAAAGTAAAAAGAATATTGGAAAGGTATTCGCATTAAATGCGTTAAGGAGAATTAGAGTTAAAATATATATATTTTTTTTTTAACAAAAAAACAAAATAAATAAATAAATAAATAGCAACGCAACAAAACCGTTCTTACATTGGAAGATCTTGCAGCAGCTTTATCCGAGTACGGGATTAATATCAAGAAACCGGACTATTATCGCGCGTAATTTGTGTTCGGTCGACTCTATATGCTACTGAATTCTTCCTATAACGAACTAAAAGGTTCAAGGTCAATAATTTGTTTTACATCGGATATACCAGATTTTATATAATAAATTTACTATACCTATCAAAATCTAATTAAAACTAGGCACCGAAAGTAGGTTATTTTTTAATTTTACCTTTAACTTGTTTTATTGAAATTTAAAACTTAAGTCGAAACCTAAAGTTAAACCGAAATATAAATTTAATTTAAAAGTCTAAATTAGATCAAAATTAAAAAATATACATCGTGATATAATTTAATTTATTAATTAAAATAATTAAGTATATGGTGTATATTAAATTTTTTTATTTTTTATTCTTTTTTAATACAGTATTAAGTGATCTTTTTGGTCAAGCTATTTTATTGTTTGAATATACAAACTTCTATTAAAATATATTTATAGTACTGTATATATATATTTTTTTTTTTTAATTTTAAATTATAGATTGAGAACATCTTCAAAGATATTTGATAGTGTTATATTTAACAAAGTACAAATAATCATATATACAATTTTAATACTGTCATTGCTTATATAAAAGTTTACTATATTTATTTTTTTTTATTTAGGCAGTT